TGTTTCAATTGTCTACGGAAAGGCCATTCAAACGAAAGTTGTACGTGCGGACCGTGCAAAAAATTTGATAAGAAGCATCACACATTATTACATTTAGACCAGCCACGGACGAGTAACGCGCAATCCACTGTCGCGTGCGGTAATTTACAAATCAACCCAGTCGAACCTTCTGATAATTCATCGATCGAAGTCGCGTCAACCACCACAGATTCTACGCCAAAGACGATTTCGGATGCAGTCGCATGTTGCAATTTGCAGGCCGACGGTTCGGCGCAAGTAGTACTCGCGACCGCAAAGGTGGTTTTCTTTGACGCGCATAATAACAAGCATGTAGCCCGCGTAGTCCTAGATGGAGGAGCGCAAGCCCACTTCATATCAGAGAAATTCGCAACCTTGCTTAAACTAAAACGAATTAAAACCAATATTCCAGTCGTAGCAATAAACCAGATGGAGGCAACAATACGCCATAAAGTTATGGCAAAGATCGCTTCAACGCAAGGAGAATATAATACGCGTCTGTCTTTCTTGGTCGTGCCAAGCGTTTCGACACCTTTACCCGCACAACAAATTAATTCAAAGGGCTTAAATATTCCGAGAAATTTGCCGCTCGCAGATCCAACATTTTATAAGTCCTCTGAGATCGATGCATTATTAGGCGCAGAATTATCCTACCAGAGCCTTTGCGCAAAACAAATCGAAATTCAGAATCAAAATGCCGTATTGCAAAAAACAAGATTTGGGTGGGTAGTCGCAGGTAAAATAACGGAAGATGAATCAAGCGTTCGAACCATTTCTTGCAATCTATCTATCAAGTCGATACACCATGACATTTCTAGATTTTGGGAATTAGAAGAAATTCCAGTAACGAAATTCATGTCCTCCTCAGAAGCTGAAGTCGAGCAACATTTTCTAGATAACGTATACCGTAACGAAACAGGTAGATACGTAGTAAGATTACCTTTTAATGATAAAAAGGACAAGCTCGGGAACACATACAACATTGCGCGCCGGCAATTCTTCGCGTTAGAACGTCGATTCGCAAGACATCCAGAAATAAAGCTTCCGTACGTCAACTCGATGAAAGAATACATAAACTTAAGACACATGACGAAGGTTCGAAATCCTGATACGCGAGACAATTACATGTCACATCATGCAGTAGTCAAGTTAGACAGTACGACTACTCAATACAGACCTGTTTTCAACGCATCCGTTACTCCAGAGGATGAGGAGGACGAATACGGTCAAATCGGTGACCACAAGAAATCGGAAAGGGTCACATTTAATCAAACTTTAATGACGGGACCGACAATACAAAACGACATTTTTGAAATTTTAATTCGTTTCCGTATTCATCACTTCGCGTTAATAGCCGATATAGAAAAAATGTATCGGCAAGTGTTAGTTCACGAAGACGATAGAAAATACCAACAAATTTTTTGGCGAGAAGATCCGAACGAACCTTTAGAAGTTTATCAACTCAACACGCTAACTTTTGGCACGAGCTGTGCACCGTTTTTAGCTATTCGCACGTTACATAAACTTGCAGATGACGAGAAACACAATTATCCTACGGCAGCCGACGTAGTGAAACGCGATTTTTACGTAGATGACCTATTAACAGGTAGTGATACTTTAGAAAACGCCGGAAGGTTACGTGATGAATTAAATTCTTTGTTAAAATCAGGCGGTTTCAATTTGCGAAAATGGGCTTCAAATGATAACCGACTGATTGAACCGTTGTCTAACGACTTAGCAAACGTCCATTTATTCTCAGATCCAGAAAAGGCAGTCAAAACATTAGGGATTAAATGGAATTCGCAATTAGACGAATTATCTTATTCGTTAAAGGCCGAACTCAGTGCTCAGGAGAAAACTACAAAACGAACAATTCTGTCAAACATCGCGCAGTTATTCGATCCGATAGGGTTGTTAGGCCCAATAATAGTCAAAGCTAAACTTATTATGCAAGCTTTGTGGAAAGCAAAAGTGGACTGGGACGAAACCCTCCCACTCAATATTCATACCGCGTGGTTAGATTACAAAAAACAGTTACCACTTTTATCGAATATTTCCTTCGAAAGATGTATTGTAATCCCAGAGTCAGTGAATAGACAGTTACACGGTTTCTGCGACGCCAGCGAGGTCGCGTACGGCGCCTGCATCTACATCCGATCTACAGATAAACATGGCAAATGCCTCACACGACTAATCTGTTCAAAGTCTAAAGTAGCTCCGTTGAATTCGAAAATTACAATTCCAAGACTTGAACTTTGTGCAGCTGTACTTTTAGCTAAGCTATATAAAACCGTGTCGAGAGTTCTACCTATTAATTTCGATAATGTTTACTTCTGGTCTGATTCAACTATCACCCTCAATTGGATAAACACTCAGCCACATATTTTAAAAACGTTCGTAGCAAATAGAGTCTCGCAAATAAGAACTATCACCAACGAATCTCAATGGCATCATGTACCAACACGGGATAACCCTGCAGACGCAGTATCCAGAGGACAATCAGTATCAGAATTCATTGATAATTTTACGTGGAGAAACGGCCCTGACTGGTTGAACCATCCCCAGGACAAGTGGCCGATTGCACCGATTCAAAAATTGCCACTGCTTGAAGTGCGCAAAATCACAGTTTTAAAAACAACGCTAACAGACAATTCGCTGTTATCGAGATTCTCGTCAATTACTAGACTAATACGGGTTATAGCACACTGTTTACGTTTCGCAATTAATTGTAGCGAAAAACCCAAAAGATTAGGGCACCTCAGTGCAAATGAAATTCAAGAGGCAAAAATTCGAATCATCAAATTGATCCAGAATCAAGCGTTCGCGAAAGAAATTCACGATTTAACAAAAATTCAGAAGGTCGACAACAAGAGCCCGCTGAAAACATTAAACCCATTTCTCGATCATAACGGCATCCTACGAGTTGGAGGCAGAATCGTTAATTCTCACCTAGCATATGATAGCAAGCATCCAATACTGTTGCCAAAAAAGAGTCACGTCACGGATCTGATTATCAAGCACGAACACGAGATCTCGTTACATGCAGGAATTCAGAACACGCTGTACCAAGTTCGTACACAGTATTGGCCGATAAATGGAAAAAACACAACCAAACGTATAATCCATTCATGTATCAAATGTTTTCGATTCAGGAACCCAACTCCGCAACATATTATGGGTAACTTGCCTAAAAATCGTCTCATTCAATCCAGACCATTCATAAACACAGGGATCGATTATTGTGGTCCATTTATGATTAAAGAGAAAAAGTTTCGCAACCGCAATAAAATCAAGGCCTACGTAGCAGTTTATGTTTGCTTTGCAACCAAAGCTGTTCATTTGGAAGCTGTCAGTGATTTAACAACTGACACATTTCTAGGTAGTTTGCGACGTTTTTTCGCTAGACGAGGCAAGAGTAAAAACATTTATACTGATAACGGCACCAATTTTGTCGGTGCCAATAATGAGTTAAAACGATTATATGAGTTCATTCGATCTGAGGAATTCAACAACTCAATTTCAAATAAGCTGGCTAATGAGACAATCGCATGGCATTTTATTCCACCTAGATCTCCACACTTTGGTGGATTGTGGGAATCGGTAGCGAAGTCGTTCAAAAATCATTTCCTTCGCAGGGCAGGAGATGCCTTATTAACATTTGAGGAATTTAGTACGCATGTATGTGAAATCGAGGCTATTCTTAACTCGCGTCCGTTAACACCCGTTTCCACCGATCCAAACGACCTAATAGCCCTCACTCCTGCACATTTCTTGATCAACGATTCATTAATGAGCATACCAGACGTAGATTTCTCCGATACTCCGGCAAACAGACTGTCCATCTGGGAGAAGATGCAGAAATCAAGACAGCATTTCTGGCAGAGATGGCACAAAGAATATCTCAATGAACTGATCCGCAGAAGCAAATGGTCATCGCCGAAGTCCGACCTAATCACCGTAGGAGCCATGGTGCTTTTACAAGAAGAAAATATTCCTCCATTGCAATGGCCTCTCGGACGCATTCTTGAAATTCATCCGGGTGACGACGGAGTTGTACGCGTTGTTAGCGTAAAAACAGCAAATGGAGTCTTCAAACGAACTGTTAAGAAGATCGCAGTGTTACCAATCGAGCAAGCTGATTGTTCAACCCTCGATATATGTAATTGATCGCAAGCGATCAATGGCGGGCGGCATGTTCCGTCGCTAATACCGACTCCTTAGTCTTTAAGCACTTTAGTACAGCCGAGAAACAATAGTATGTCCAGAATCACCCATCTGCCGCGCAACCATTTCTTTGTACGCCTAGCAAAATATGTTTTTTATGACCCACGCACCGTAATAACCAGAAATGCCTTCCAGAAGGATAAGACGTCCTTCTGCTACAAGCAAAGACCATAACCCGGCCAGAAAGGCATTACGCAGGTATCCGCTATTTCTGGACACTTTCCCTTCAACCGTTTCCTACCACCACCTTAGGTTTTTTCCGTTTCCTTTTTTTAACCGTCCAAAGGGCGTCATCCTCTTTTCCCCCACACCACCGTGACAGGAACATTCCAACCAATAGGAAATTTTTTACAAACAAAGAAAATCACCACCCCCATCCCTTAAGACGTCTCTGCGAGACGAGAGACGATACGAAGCGAGAGTTCGAGCTTGACCGCCGACCGTACAACACAAGACAATTTTGTAAAGCCACAGTACGACGTTGTAGTGGAGTTTTTAATACAACCATTTTAAAAGCCATCAGCTGTGTCCATTATTTTACTGGGAATCAATTCCTAAACACTTCATCAGCTACGCAATATTATTGAGAATATAGTACATTTGACTGTACTCTATAGTGTCGATATGTATAGTATAGAGCGCGCGAGAATGAGTGAGCGCGCTGACGAGTGTGTGAGGGGACACACACATGTAAGTATCCCCTCTCGCGGTATGAGTGTAAGTCACATGACTACAAGCGGTGTCGAGACTAGATGAGTCCCGCACATCGCCCTCTTGAATTCGAGCCGTCGCTGAGAGCACATGGTGCTGACGAATGAACAAAGATAGTTAATAAACCACATTTATTATAATTAAATCCTCTCTGTGTAAACCTCATTTCAACATGGTAGCAGAGCGTGGTTATTATTCTTTTTATCCCGCATATCTACTTTTTAAGTGATATGAGGGATATTTAAGTAAGGTTAAAAGCCACGTGGTGAAGAAATTTTTCAAAGTGAAAAATCAAAGCGTTTGAATAATATAAGAAGAAAAATACAAGTGAGAATAAATAGCTAAACAAAAGAACTATTGATTAGTAGAATGATTTTTTGGAAAAATCATAAAATCAGTGTGATGCACGCGGATTAAAAAGTGTAGTGAAACACGTGGCAGAGTGCATGGAAAACCGAGAGACGCCGGAAACGAAGAAAGTTGAGAAAATTAAAGAGGAAGAGTCTGAACACGAAGGAACGTTCGAGAATCAACTAGAAATTGAAGAGAAGTCTGAAATCGAGATTCAAGGAGACGAAATGGAGAAGAAAGAATCTGTTATACCGGTGTTCGATGGAAAGGATTACAGCATGTGGAAGAAAAGGATAATGATGTTTCCAAAATTGAAAAAGTGTCACGAAGTGATAGAAAAAGAAAAACCCTCAACAGAAACAGGCACAACATGGGATGAGAATGATCTGAAAGCGATCAATATTATTTATTGCGCAATATCGAATAAGCAATTGGAATTTGTGTGTGAAGAAACTACAGCTTTTGTAATAATAACAAAGCTAGATAAAATGTATTTGAAAGAATCTACAGCATTACAGATTGTATGCAGAAACAGACTCGAAAGAATGAAATTAAATAATTACAGTGATACAGCGTCATTTTTCAGTGATTTTGAAAAATCAGTAAACGAGTTAAAAAGTGCAGGTGCTAAAATAAGTGAAAAAGAAAAATTAAACTATATGCTCAACACGTTGCCAGAATCGTACAGCTACATCGGAGATTTAATATTTACGCTAAAAGAAGAAGATCAGACGGCTGATTACATTAAGAATAAAATTAAAATTGCTGAGATGAAAAACGGAAACGAAGACTCCGAAAGAAAATCAAACTTTTTTGCCACGAACAAAGGGAGATGTTATAAAGAGTGCAAACTGCAAGAGAGTGCAAAGATGGCGGCCAAGCGGCGCACAGCGGCGGAACATGGCGAGGTCCAACACGTGGCCGCGGCAACGGCAGAGGCAGAGGCGGAAGAGGTAACTACGGCAGAGGGCGCGGCAACTTCCGTCAGCAACAGCAAGGCGCCAGTACGAGTCAACCGAGTGGGTCCGACGTCAGCGCCTGGATAGCAACGGCACATGCGGCGCGAAATACAGAGATAGGTAATAAAATAAATTGGTTACTCGATAGTGGATGTTCTGATCACATCATAAATAATGAGAGTTATTTTGAGAATTATATTGAGTTAAAGAAACCGCTCAAAATATATTTAGGAGATAGTAGTGAATTATTAGCAACTAAAATTGGTAATGTTGTAAGTTACTTTAAAGCTTTTGAAAAAGAAAATAAAGTTGTAATGAGAGATTTTTTTATTTGTGAAAGAAATGAATACTAATTTGATTAGCTACGCGAAATTAACTGATACGAATACAATTATATCTAAAGGGAATATTTCGAAAATAATTGATGAAAAAGAAAATTTAATAGCTGTAGCTTATAAAGAGAATCGTACATATAAAATAACGAGTAGATTGAAAATTGATCAAAAGACTGTAAACAGTGCTGAATATAATAATGAGAATATGAGTAAAAAAGAGAGATGGCACAGAATGTTAGGACATGTGAATTTTGGCTATTTAAATTTTTTGAGCAAGCGACAGTTGTTGACAGGTATTCCAACTGAATTTGAATCGGAAATTGTAAAATGCAAAATATGCATAGAAAATAAAATGCATAATTTACCGTTTAAGAATAATAGAACAAGAGCAAGAAATATCTTAGAGATAATACACACTGACGTATGTGGTAGTTTCAAGACCCCGGGTCCAAACGGTGAAAAATATTTTGTTTCATTTATCGATGATTACAGCAAAATAGCCAAAGTTTACTGCATAAAAACCAACGATGAAGTATTTGATTGTATGATAAAGTACGTAAATGAAGTAGAAAACTTAACAGGAAAAAAAGTAAAAACAATAAGATGCGATAATTGTACAGAATACCTAAATAATCGATTTTATAAATTCGCAAAGGAAAAGGGTATTTATATAAACAATTGTCCAGCGTATGTACATGAATTAAATGGTACTGCCGAAAGGTTCAATCGCACAATTATGGATATGGCGCGTTGTTTATTGGATGAGGCACAAGTAGACAGAAAATATTGGC